CCGAGACCGGGCTGGGATCGGATCCGATCGGGTCCGGTCGGGTCGGGTCGGCTTAACCCGGCTCGGCTCAGCGAGGCCCAGCTCGGCACGGTCCGGCCCCGCTCAACCAGGCTTGGCTCAGCCCAGTTCGGCTCAGCCCAGCTTGGCTCAATCTGGTTTGGCTCAGCCCATCTCAACCCAGTTCGGCTCAGCGGAGCTTGGCTCAACCAGGCTAGGCTCAACCTGGTTTGACTCAGCCCATCTCAGCCCAGTTCGGCTCAGCCCAACTTGGCTCAACCAGGCTTGGCTCAACCTGGTTCAGCTCAGCCCAGCTTGGCTCAGTCTGGTTTGGCTCAGCCCATCTCAACCCAGTTCGGTTCAGACAAGCTTGGCTCAACCAGGCTAGGCTCAATCTGGTTTGGCTCAGCCCAGCTTTGCTCAATCTGGTTTGGCTCAGCCCAGCTCAACCCAGTACGGCTCAGCCCAACTTGGCTCAACCTGGTTTGGCTCAACCTGGTTTGGCTCAACCAAGCTTGGCTCAACCAGGCTTGGCTCAACCAGGCTTGGCTCAGCCCAGGTCAGCGCAGTTCAGCTCAGCCCATCTCAACCTGGTTCGGCTCAGCCCAACTTGGCTCAACCAGGCTTGGCTCAACCTGGTTCGGCTCAACCTGGCTTGGCTCAACCTGGTTCAGCACAGCCCAGCTCCGCACAATTCGGTTTGGCTCAGCCCATCTCAACCCAGTTCAGTTCAGCCTAACTAGGCTCAACCAGGCTTGGCTCAACCAGGCTTGGCTCAGCCCAGTTCAGCCCAGTTCAGCCCAACCCAGTTTGGAACAGCCCAGCTTGGCTCAATCAGGCTTGGCTCAACCTGGTTTGTCTCAGCCCAGTTCAGCTCAACTCATCTCAACCCCGTTCAAGCTCAGCCCAGCTTGGCTGAACCAGGCTTGGCTCAACCTGGTTTGGCTCAGCTCATCTTAGCTCAATCTGGTTTGGCTCAGCCCGGCTCAGCCCAGTTCGGCTCAGCTCAGCCCAATTGGCCCAGCCCAATTCAGCGCAGCTTGGCCATGCTCAACTCAATTCAGCCCAGCCCAACCCCATTCAACCCTGCTCACCATGGCTTGGCTCAACCCATCCCAGCTTGGCCCAGCCCAGCCTGGGCTCAGCTTAGCCTGGGCTCAGCCTACGGGGGTCAGGAACCCCAGCACCCTTTTGGGGTGCCAATGGCCACCAACGCTGGCCACCCCAACACACCCGCAGGCGCAGGAGGAGCTAGGGGTGTTTATTGGGTAGGGGGGGGGGGGCGGGGGGCCCCCGGCCTACACCCGCATC